TTAGAAAGTTGCAAACCGATCAGTACTTTTTGTAACCTGCTTCTGCCTTAAGTCTGGATGGATAATTGACCTTTTTCCTTAGTAGAGTTCATTCAAACTACCGTGACATCGATGCCCATGACAAGTGTATGTAAACTTCTCACCACCAACTGTAAGACTGAAGTGTTAAATCAATGTAAAAAAAAAAAAGTCTTGAGTCTTGATAATATCAACCTCTATCAACATGCTGCAGGTTGAAACATGCACATGGATAGAATTTTATCTGTCATCATGTTTTAGTTGACTAAAATCAATGTTTGTTTGCCTACATCTGGCCTGTTGTTCCGACTCATTACAGTCATTCACCATTTATCTATGCAAAAAGATAGTAACAGATAGTCAGGTAAACACACTGCTCTTTATTTTAGCAACAACAACATCATGAAATCATCTCCATCTTCTTGTTCTGTCTTTTTTTTTCTTGCTCTGAACAGCAACAGTCTGGCATGACCAGCTTAAGGCTTTTAGATTCTAGCTTTTGTGTTTGAGGTACAGCCCCACCCAACTCCTGCCACAACCAACTCATTTTATGGTACATTGTGTGGTTGTTATTGATGGATTGAGTTAGCACCATAATCAAAGCCTCTCTGGCTTTTTTTTTTTTTCTTTGACTGCAGCAGGCGTGGTAAAGGTGCTCTGTGGGCTTTTTTTTCTCTTTTGTTTCTGCCATCTGGGAAAAACCAGCTTAAAGGACGGTGTTTACAACAAAACTGTCATAGACACAGCTTCAAATTAATTTAAATGGACACGGCAGGACTCTCCCACATACACCCATACACATGCTGGTATGTGAGCTTGCACACACACACACACACAGATACACACACACACACACACACACTAGCACACACAAAAGTCAGAAAATCTCTCCTGTGTGACAATTCTATAGAAAAACAACCCTGATAAAAGAAAGGAAGGTAAAACTTTATTTTATGAGTCCATTAATTAAAAATAATTTCCTCAAAAGATTCATGTAAAATGACTTTAATTCCGTGTAATTTGTCACTAATTATAGTTAAAAATGGACTGTGCTGAACAGTCCATTTTTAACAATTATTTAAATTCGGGTGGTGCTACTTTCAGCAGCTCCCTAATTCACGGGGTCGTGACAGGAGGTAGTGCTGCATGTTTGATTTGGCAGATTTTATATGCTGGATGCTCTGCTTGTCGCAACCACAAGGGTCCGAACTGGAAAGCTTTAATTTGTTAGGTGAATTTGTAAACTGCTATTACACTGGGGTAAATTGTAATAAAAAAAGGGCTCACTCACATCTGATATCTGGGCCAAAAGTTCCAGTTACATGCACTGATCGCTGTTTTACGCAGGTGACTTTAAAATAAAAGCTTCTAAAAAGCTAAATCCTCTTCAGGTGATAGTTGACTGCAAACCCAGTCCTTCTTTCGGTCTCCACATGCACAGTTTACAAGAATGCATCCAAAACCTTCAGGAGGTCAACAAAACGTATAAAACTGTTGGCAATTTGTCTACAAATAAAAAAACACTGTTTACAATAATTAGCGTAGAATGAATGAATTATATATACTAAAAGAAAACCTGTAAAAAACTGTAACGGGTGGACTGGAATTCACGTGGATGTAACTTTGGCTTTACTCAAAAGAATAAAGTCCCTTTTTCAAATATCTGCCCCTTACAGACAAAAGAAGAACGACTCTGGATTTAAGTAACAAGTACAATATTTCCACAATTTACAAGAGTCCTGTGATTTTGCTTAGTTTTCTCCAAGCGCTCTCTTTCTTTCCTCTTTATATAAAAGTGAAGCTGAAGATTCTCAGCTGCCCACGAATGGCACCAAAAAGCTTTGTCATCACTTTCTGATTGTCGTCAGCAGAATTAATTCTTTGGGAGACTCTCGGCCAATAGGCTTTCACAACACAGCGCAAAAGGAGTCTGTTTTGTGAACAGAGGCAACAGTCTGTTCGCCTCTGTTCACATCTCTGCTACTGTAACAGTGATTTCCTCAAACCAGACTATGCACCATGCACCAAACATGGCCTTTCTCATTTTCAAGGAACACAATAAGCAGCCCTAGGAGGAGCACAGGCATCCAAATTTCCCAGATCCTAATAGGATTGTGCTCTAGAGTGATGTGTCAACACACACCCAATTAACAGGGGGTATGCCCCACACCCTATAAGACCCAAAAGATCTGCGAAGAGGAGTTAGACAAGTGATTTTAATGCTGTGCTTTAATATTTTCACTAAAATTTCTCTGGATGTTATTAATCTGCTTGTGCCAAACTACAAAATTAGTCCTAAAAAGCTTTTGAGGAAATTATTAGGAAATCACAGACTGGCAAAATAAAGGGCTACCAAAAGTACTACATGCCTGTACCATCAGTAATATCAAAGCTATTCTGTTAGGAGTCTGGAGTCTGCAGCTATTTTTTAAACACTGTTCAGACAACAAAATATGAATACAGTACAAATACAGACAGTGCTGTCCTTCTGCAACAACTTCTTCATTTTACAGTATTTTACATGTAAATTATCATCTGTCCTGTTTTGTTTTTGTTGTGGAAGATGGATGCAGTATGAAAATACAGCTGTCGAGGCCTGTAAAATGCAGTGTTCAGTACATACACATTCTGGAGGAAGGTGCATCTTGTTATAATAGTGATGGCATGTCCCCAAAATAACAGATTGCTTGTAAACACGCACATAGCTTACCTTAAAAACAGAAAACAAATATAGTGTCACAGGAATGATGACAATCCCACTAACAGCGTGAAAATGCTCAAAGCCTTGTCACAAATAATCACATTTTCAACTGTTTTTACATTCAACTCAAATGTTGCTTTTGATGTGCCCTTCGGATTAGAAACAGCATTTTCAGAGACTCCTTCAACATGAGTGAATAGCTATGGAAAATTGCGATTCGGGAGACCACTACCTGTGCTTCGTGTACATAAGATGGTGTTTAAAAATGCAGTGCGAGTCTACCTACTCACTCGGTGATGTTTGCGTTTTAGCTGCCATAAATAATCATGCATGTTGAAGGCTTGTCTCTGTTGTCGACCGCCTGACGAGGATTTGCTGAAGCACCTTCGCCGAGGAGGACTTTCTGCCTCTGACTGATAACAGCTCCGCTTCTCTGCCTGCCTGTGATCCTCTCTACCTTCCATATCTTTCTGTAACACATCCTGACCTGAGAAATGATACAGAAACCAAAATATGCACCGTCACCAGACAATATCGCAGAATCTCGTCCCATGTAGAAAGTAAACACACAACACTCCATCCCCTGCTGTGGCTGTTTGTGGCCAGAACAGAGAGCCGTTAAGTAAGTGTGGAGCTAAAACTGACCACTCAGTGAGAGTCATCCTCCTGCCATTTTTATTTAAGGCAGGATGTCCACACAGGAACAAGCTGAGTCACAGCACCATCGGCGCATTACACGGTGGTTTCGTACTCCATCACTTCTTTGGGAGTGCCCAGGCAGCGGTACTGAATCCTCGGTGTAACGGGGGCAGCACTCTCGAGCACCAGGATGGTTTTACGCAGCCGACGGTCGATGAAGTGAGCGTCCCAGGCGGGGTACTTCTTCCTGGGCAGGTCTATCCGGATGACGGGGCCCTCTGTCCTGGGTGTGAGATTAGCCACTGGGGTCTGAGCTCCCCGAGGTGGCCGCACCTTAAACACATCCCCGTCTATCCCCGGCTCTCTGTCTGACCCTTTAGTTCTCTGAAGGGTCCTGGGAGGGCTGCTTACCAGGTCAGGAGGGAGGCTGGAGGCTGGCGAGGCCAGAGCCTCCACGGGCACCTCCTTCTCCACTATGTAACTCCACCCTGAAACTGCACCGTCAGGGTGCAGCAGGCAGTAATACACAAACATGAAGAAGGTGCCCAGAGCGTAGCTGCTGGCCACCACGCACACCATCACGACAGCGTAAAAGTCTGAGGTACTCTGGCGCTCGCCAGTGCTGCGGTACAGGTACCAGAAGGTGGTGAGCGCCACATTCTCAACAAACACAGTCAGACTGTAGATGAGCATCCTGCAGCAGGTGCGCCCCTCTCTGACGCTGAACCAGCAGAAGATATAGACAATACCCACCATCATGTTATAGATGATTTCCTCCCATTTGGACATGCAGAAGTCCGTTTCGCCTTGAATGATCCAAAACGTCATGATGCACCAGTGGGCCACGATGAAGATGCCAAAGTAGAGCTGGAACACGGAGGCAAAGAGGGCAAACGCCAGTGTGCGAGCTCCGATGGTAAATAAGTGCCACAGAATCTGAACTATCACTGCATTGTAGGTCATGGGTAGCTTATCGTCTCGGGAGTCCCTCAGGACTTTCTGGTAGGAGGAGATCATCCAGGCGAGGGATATCAGTGAGGCAGAAGCTGAAAGCCCTGGGGAGAGAGCGGAGAAGAGGGAGGAAGAGAGACAGAGATTTGGCAAGAGGAGTAAGATGGGATGGAAATGGCTGTGAGTTAACTGTCTCACCGTGTAGCACAGAAAGAAAATGCACTTCCCTCATCTCAGTGGGAGCCTGATTGAGGCGAGCTCAAGTGACTCATCGCTCACAGCGTGCGTACAGTGTGGGCTGCAGACTCATGACTGACTGATGTGATCGTGTGCATGATGGCTGTGGTGATTGGTCGTTTTGGGGGCACTTACCCTGAAGGGGCAGCACCTGATTGGCCCGGATCATGATGGTGAGCTGCAGCACGAGCTGAGGGGCGCTCTTCAGAAAGGACTCCAGAAGACGAAGCATGCTGATATCAGCGCTCTCAAACATCATGCGCCAATAGTAGTGACGCCGCTCTGGGTCTCCGTGCCAGCGGCTCTGCACGCCCAAATACAAGGCGTGGACATACCTGAGTATCAGAGGCAGATATATTTCAGAAACTTTCAGCGGTGCATTCGTTTTTGTGAGATGGAAAAGGGAGATTAGGCTTTAATGCTGTGCTTCAAAAACTTTCGGACATCAAACACAGACTCTCAGAAGTCATAACTCATTATTCCAAACTCTGGGAGCCGTCAGTACTTCTTGCCAGAAAGCTGGTTACTTGCCCCACTGGGATTTAGATTAAACTGAAACTGAACTAAGCAGCTCTGTGGTTATAATTTTAGTACAGACATCGGGGGGAATGTGTGAAGCTTGTCTCCAGTCTCTCTTCAAATAAAATAAGTCCAAGGAATTCAGAAAACGTAAAATACGAGGAGCTGCGGAGAGAAAAGAAATCCAAATAAATGCTCTCAATGCAACCTTCAAGGGTGAAGGTTAGAAGGGAGAAAAGAGCTCGCTGCAAATCCTTTGTTGAACTCTTGAGCTTTTGCTGACATGTAGTCCCACCTCCATTCGTTCTGCAGTGACCTTGTATAGGTACCAAACAGGATGCTGCAGAAAAGCACACATATTTCTGCACAAATGTGTTTGCACTATGCAAATATACAGAGTGTAAACGATTATCGCTACAGAGCATCTACATGTTGGAAAAACACCGGTGGTTGTCACGGAGGACTGATGCTATAATCGCCTCAGTAATTGCCTTGGGGAGAAGGGTCAGAGAAGCCCTATGTCAACAAGCCCACTTAACCACAGGGGAGATTGTGTAACCCTTTTTTTGTTCTGGTCCCTGCTACACAAAGCGTGCCTTGGGATGGAACAGACTGGGAAAATAGAGCATATGTGCAATAACGAGGGTCAAAGACTCAGCCACACAAGAGGACGCGCGCACACACACGCACACACACGCACACACACGCACACAAACAGTGTCATCGCACGCCCTGTGTGTGACACGAGCCCGTATCACATCTCAAGCGCACTGACATTCAATTCTGGTAGCCGGCCCAAATTGATCCCGGTTCACCTGACTAATTGTGTATCAGTGACGGCTCATTCCTGAGTTAACAGCTGAGGGTAAAACACACAGCGGTAATCCTCTTAATGTGCAGACACGCTGGTCTGAGAGCAGCAGCAGCAGAACGGCAATGAACGGGGCACGCACCACAGCTTTAATGGCATTACCGGTAATTCTGTGCCGCCACAATGTTTTAATGTGATCCAGGACACGCTCTCTCACACTAGTCTCCAGGAGGAAATAAGGAATCAATATATGTTATTACCCATAGGGCTGTCTAAAGAGGCAGGAAGGGCGAGAGAGGACAGAGATTATGCAGGCCTACGGATAAATCAAACAACGGATTTGCATCTTTCTTTCTACAACAGCCCGGCATGTCTGCAAAACACAACTTGTCTTTGAATGTAATTTTGTCTAACCGTCCACCTACTACAGTTTAGATGAATGCTTCCTCCTGGCTGGCAGCAGTTCAAACCTGTCAAAGCCTATCAGGGCACTCCAAGCTTGAGCACCGACTCACCATCACTGCTTGAGTAGCTGACCTACAGACCTACTGCCATCCATTTGAGAGCGATGCCAAAGTGTACACCGGTTTGTTTTCAGCGCCCAGTAATTAAACATGTTTGGGTATGAACATGGCTCGAAGGAAAAAAACTGTTGGGAGGTTTGAGAATATGGATTTTGCAAACATAAGAGCCAGAGCCTCAAGGTAGGAACTAAAAATACACCAAACAGTGATAGAGAGGCAAGTATCACTGTAAATGTGAAGCAACTCTCCTGACATTTATGACTATTATCCTTCTTCTTGAGCAGTCAGGCTCCTTCCTCCTACTGAACAGACAAGAGGATTTTTCTTCCTTCTTGTTTTCCTCCCATTTTTTACTTCATTTGAAGGCGATTGATGTGGATGAGTTGGTGATTTTCAGACAGATTGACCTAGAAGCCAGCCAGGGGGTTGGGGGAGTGGAAGGGTGGAGTCTAATTCTGCCTTTCCATGCTGGTGAAAGACGTGAAACAATACAAAAAGATATTCTGGCATTTTGGGCGCAGTCCCCCCTGAATGATTAGGTTTCATAACTACAGGGAGTGATGCTGTGCTTTGAAAGACCCCCCCCCCCCCCCCCCCCCCCCCCCCACACACACACACACACACACAGCCACAATGTGTAGCCCCCTCTCGGCTCAGATCACGCTTTGAGTATTCTGACTTACCTCCAGACCTGTGCCAGCTGAAAGATGTGAATGAGAGCCTGGAAGAGCCAGACGAAGACTCTGCAGCACCCCCGGGCTCCTCCCCCGGTGCCCGGCCCTGGCAGCACCCCGGCCGCGGCAGAGCGGCCAGCGCCCCGCTCGCCGCTGTCCTTGGTGCTGATGTCGCGCTCCGCAGCTCCCGACGCTGCCACCACGGCGGCCGCGGCAGTGCCGCTTTCCACGGTTTCCGAGAAATCGTAGGCGAACCATCGGAAGCTCAACACTTGCACGACCACGGACGGGACTATCACAAAGACCAGAGTCAGTACAAACTGCGGGTAGTACTTCCTTAGGTAGTAGTCCGCGGCCAGCCACAGGTCTGAGGCCCCGTCCGCGAAGAACACCAGAAGGGCGCACAGCGTCCAGCAGCAGTCCGAGAGGGTATAGCGCTGCTCGGCGGGACGGCGCTGGGGAAGCCGCGGGTCCGACCTGGAGGGGCACTCGGGTGGGATTGCGTTTCGGAGAGAGACGGGTGCACCGTCAGATTTCGCGGCCATATTTGTTGTAGGGAAGCGAGTAAGGGATGGGAAAATGATGGAAGGGGGGGAGGGGGGTCGCCCAGCCTGTAGGTCTGTAGACTATGAATGCGTGTGGGAGAGAGGGAGGGAGGGGAAAGGAGGCAGGGAGGAGGGCCAGAGTAGGAGAGAGAGAGGGACAGAGGGGGGGAAATCATTGCCGCTCCTCAATCATCGGAGCTCATATAGGAAAATGAGATTTTAAGCGGTCTGAGCGGAGATTTCTCTCCATCAAAGGGAGCTGAGCTGCTCGGTTACAGCGGGTACTTTGGGTTTGTCCGTCCACAAATCCAGGAATTTATTAAAAGACAGAAGTGGGGGAACTACTGAAATAGTTTACTCGACACAAAGTAAAAATAATAAAGCTGAAGAATAAATATTACAAATAGAAGTTTCACATTTTAAAACTGTAAAACTGTAATCTGTAACATTATAAATTACTAACACATCATAGTAGCTTAATGATTCCTAACCAGGGTCCCCTAGAAGCTCAAAGAGGTCTCATAGCATTCACAAAAAGAATACAGAGTCGGCCTTAATTTTTTTAAACATTGCTTATATGTGTGTGTAAAGTGCATTAACTGTATACAAATGATGGTCCTGGGTCTAAGAAGCTAAGGGAGTGCAGAAGTGCCTTTAACCTGCATTCCTTTAAATGGCCAGCAGGGGGCTTCTGCTTCCAAAAAAAGTCCAGTTAAATAGAAGTCTGTGAGTTTTCTGTTGAGTTTATGTTCTCAGTTGCTGCTTTCAAGTCATATTTAATGCAAAGTGAGGTTTATTTTGCAAACTATGGTTATTTTTAGAGTCAAAAAGGGTGATAAAGCAGAGAAGCTGGCAGAGTATCTTGTGCGTGTGCCTGGGGTTCTTAGATTCACTCTCATCATGTCTACTTTCAGAACACCTAAATGGTGAGGACAAAAACACTTCTCTGAAGGCTACATTCACCCTTTTATAAACAGGCTGAACTAAAAATGAATGGCTCAAACTCACCCAGTGTAAACGGTGCGGGAAATAATTATTTGATCCCTTACTGAATTTGTACAGTAGTGGCCAAAGGTTTTGAGAATGACACAAATATTGGTTTTCAAAAAGTTTGCTGCTTGAGTGTTTTTATATCTTTGTGTCAGTTGTTTCTGTGATGTTTTGAAGTAGAATTACAAGCACTATAGAAGTTTTAAAGGCTTTCATCGATATGTTTATGCAAAGAGTCAATATTTGCAGTGTTGGCCCTTCTTTTCCAAGACCTCTGCAGTTTGACCTGGCATGCTTTCAATCAACTTCTGAGCCAAATCCTGACCGATGGCAACCCATTCTTTCATAATCAATGCTTTGAGTTTGCCAGAATGTTTTGTTCCCCGAGCCACTTAATTATCACTTTGGTCTTATGGCACGGTGCTCCATTATGCTGGATAAGGCATTGTTCTTCACCAAATTGCTTTTTGGATGGTTAGAAGATGTTGCTGTTAGAGGATAGATAATCATTTTTCCAGATGCCCCAAACAATCAGAAAGGGGCTTCATCAGATAAAATGACTTTACGCCAGTCCTCAGCAGTCCACTTCCTGCACTTTTTGCAGAATATCAATCTGTCCTGACATTTTATTTGGGAGGAGTGGCTTCTTTGCGGCCCTTCTTGACACCAGGCCATCTTCCAAAAGTCTTTGTCTCACTGTGCATGCAGATGCACTCACACCTGCCTGCTACGTTTCCTGAGCAAGGTCTGCACTGGTGGCACTCCCGCAGCTGAATCATCTTTAGGAGGCCATCCTGGTGCTTGTTGGACTTTTTTGTTTGCCCTGAAACCTTCAATTTTAACTGAACTTCAATTTCGGTGCAGTCTTAGTAGCAAAACCATCCTTGCCTGTGAAGCCTTTTTTATGCAATTCAATGATGGCTGTGTTTCTTTGCAGGTAACCAAGGTTAACAGGAAGAACAATGATTTCAAACATCACCGTCCTTTCATCACCTCCACTCTGGTATTCTAAACCAGTCAGCAAGACATAATGATCTCCAGCCTTGTGCTCGTCAACACTCTCACCTGAGTTAATGACAACATTATTGAAATGATCTCAGCAGGTTTTTATGGGATTTAGTTCACTGTCAAGGCAAAGACGGACTTCGCAATTCATCTGATCACTCTTTATAACACTCTGGAGTATTTGCAAATTGCTATCATGAAATTTGAAGCAGCAAACTTTGTGAAAACAAATATTTGTGTCATTCTTAAAACTTTTGGCAACAACTGTAAGTTTGCTCACATACCAAGAAATGAACAGTCTCTAATTTTTATGGAGAGAAACAGAAAATCAACCGAAACTCCAGAAAAACACATGACACAAAAGTTATAAATGAATTTGCATGTCATTGAGTGAAATAAGCATGTGATCCCCTACAGCCCAGCCACAATTCTGGCTTACACAGGTTGGCTGTATGCCCACACAGATTAATATCAATCAATCAATCAATTACAGATATTCCTAATCTTATCTTTATATGTGTATAAAGCACACCTGTCCACAGAATACATTTCTTTCATTTCAACCTCTCCACTACCTCCGAGGCCAAAGAGCAAGTCTGTAGACCTACACGGGGCTGGAGTGGACTACAAGACTATCAACAAGAACCTTGGTAAGACAGTAAGAGTTGTTGGAGCAATTAGGAGCTTGTTTATGATCTGGAGGCAGTTGGGACCATAGTCACCAAGAGCATCACTGGCAACTCTGTAATGGATTTAAATCTTGCAGTGCCCACACAGTCTCCCTGCACAAGAAACCATGTGTACAGCGTGTAAGTTTGCCATTGAACATGTAAACGATTCAGAGGCTTGACCTCTAGGATTTTCTCCTGGAGAACTGCTGCTCACTGGATATTGTTTTTCAGACCATCTCTTTAAACCCTGGAGATGTTTGTGTGGGAAAGTACTGGATCAGCAGTTTTTGAAATACTCGGCCCAGCGCATCTGGCACCAACAACCATGCCGCATTCATTTAGGCATGTGGATGTGCTCACGTCTACATGCCTAAGTGGATTTGGTTGCTGATTGGCTGATTAGATATTTGTTAACGAGCTGCTGCAAAGGGTACGTAAGAACTGGCCTGTGAATGCATCATGGTGGTCATGTACTGTTTTTGTTACTTAATTATTAAAGCCACCACCCCAAGGTGGAGCAGCTGAGCTCCGTCTGCTCATCATCTTAAATCGGTCTTGATTCTGCTTTTTGCTGCCTGCAATTCATACCCTATCTGTCTGTACGAGTTCCTCTTTCTCTGCAGCTTCCTCTCAGCTCAGACCTCCTCTGGTGACTCAGTCTGAGGCCGTCATTTCTGCTGACAGGAAACACTCAAGTTACTCTTTTAGCTCTCTGGGAGATATCGATCTTCACACTGCTCTATTCGTGACCCAGAAAACCAGAACTTAACGAAACGCACCGTCAACTCAAGCTGCTGTGGATAAAACACATTTGTTCATACAATGTGACTTTGATCAAATCAATTATTTTAAAAAGCGATTTCATAATCAATTTTCCACTGCTCATTTGGGTCCAGAGGGCAGCAGAATAAGCAGATGTGTCCAAACTTCACTCCCAATCTTTTTGTTAAACACCAAAAACATGCTAAAAGGACAAAAACCAAGACCAAAACTAATGAAAATGTACTAAAATTTAATCATTCATAAAAGCTGGAAAATCATCTGTGACAGGGTAACACAAGAAGCGATATTAGAGTTGGTTTAGTACAATATATTTTCAGCCTCAAGACACAAATCAGAACGCACCATTTCCCCCATCAGTCTATAAAATACTAATTTCCTTAGCTTTATTATGCAAAAATGGAAGTAGAATATATTATGGGAAATATGGAAGGCTTGCAGCTCTCGATATAAAACAAAGTCACTTAGGAAAGATGTTATTTCATCAATACACATCCTTGTAAGTAGGAGCGAGTAATTTATGGACAATGACGCATCTTCATTGACACTGTTAGTGCAGAAATGTACAAGAAGACCAACATTTCACATGGATACTTTTGCGAACGCATTGTCACAATGTCTCAAATATCTGATGTTACTTTTAATAAAACATTTTAGTTCCCATAGATGGATATAAATCCAAGGTCTCCTCTTTTATATTGATATTTCCAAAAAGAAAGACAACTTGGAGAAGAGGACAAAAACAAAACAGTTGTCATCAGGCTGACAGTAAAAAAAGAAGAGGTGGATATCTTTGCCATTAAAGAGCAGAAAGAAAGAGTTTCTTGAGAGTATGTGCCGTCTCCTGCCATTTTGCGAGTGGTGAAATTTCTCTGTCAGCCTTTTTCAAAATGCTTCGGAGAGGACTTGGAATGCTGGCACGATCCACTGGGAAACAGTTAATCATTACAAGTTTCTGAAAGCAAGAAAAAGAAAGAGTAAAGTCAGAAGATTCAATGTAAACGATGTGGACACAACTTGTTCCTGAAACATTTTAAAAAGTCAAGACGGTGTGTCGACATTGCAGGACATTCGCCCACCTTCAGTAGTTCCCTGTGGCTTTGAAAAACCTGTATGATTATCAAGATGGAAATAACAACCAGGGTTATTTTTTAAGACTTGAATTCTTATAAGTTGTGAAGCTCTCCAGCTACAAGGTGGGCTGCAAGCCTTTATTCCTTGTTCCAGTGAGAGTCCTGGATAAATGGGGAGGGCTGCACTGATGTGAAATAAATACTGAATCAAATATGCAGATCAAAATAATTCCACACCAAATTGGTCAAGCCCTGGATGGAGGCTGATGACCCACTGTGGTGACTACTAACAGTAGGAGGATTGTTACTATTCTTTTTCATTTTAAACTGTAAAAACATGCAGTTTATAAACCGAATGTTAATTTTGTCAACACGTTATCCTCTTAATTCTGCTGAACCTCAACTGTGGCAGTTAACATGGATGTAAACACCTAAATAGCTACTACATATAGACACACACACACGTACGTACATATATATAAGTGTGTTTCCTTTGCTTTTCTAAAATATAAACTATAAAATGAAAACCATCAAATCAGCGAATCCACAAGGGCACAAGATGTTCACTTGCTTAATTTTCAGCTGTTGCAGGATAGAGACCTCACATGGAGCCAACTGGATAGGCTGTTCAGTTTTTCCCCTTCTACCTTCTATCTTTTCCGAATCCAAAAACCGATGGAAAAATTAGGCTAGACTTTTCACCAAAGCGCTCTCATTGCTGCAGCTGTTCATGTTTCATTTGAACTGTAGCACATTTCCTGTAGAAGGCCATCCCATCTGCACTCATGTCAGCGATTCAAACTTTGGGAGCATCAGTTCTTCGGTACTCTGCCCATTTTTTGACACCTGACCTTGGCTGAGTGTAGTGCTGTCCCCCCCCCCCCTTTTGTACTTGTCATTTTACTTAATTCTCTAACTCCTTGTGTATTTAACTCATGAAATCACTTTCCTATAAAAGCATAATTCAGCTGTCCAATAGGCACTGGCACTTGGAGTCAGTCCATATAAGGGATGTTCTTGTTGCAGTGAAAACTTTTACTTTTCAGCTGCTCTGAATCAGTGAAGTGAAGCAGCTATATTGAAACCATACAAAATATTGACTTTCTTCTGCTGAGGTGAGACGCTTTGAAACAACTCATAAATGTTCAGCCTCCACCTCTCTAGAAACCATCTGTCCTCTTGGTGAACCTTTGTTTCCAGTTTATAAAGAGATTTACTGTGGCACCAAAATGTCAGAGTGCTGCTTATCCCAGTTTATGTTTTTGTTGCAGCTTCCCAAAAATGTCACATGAAACATAAAAATGTCAACTTCGTTATGCTTCATATTTGCTGCTTTGTAAGACAAAACAATCACAGTATAAACTGTTTTTCTGCATTCACAAAGATCCATCAAGCAGGGAGGATTATGACATAATTTCCCTAGTTCACGAGTTTGTGAGCCACACTTCAGAGACTGTCTTTTGGGATTTTAGCCCAGTGAAGAAGCTGGGAATTAACAGCATGTAGTGGCTAAAGCATACCTTGATTTGACTCAGAGTGTCACATGCTTAACTCACAAACATTTCCTGAACGGCAAGTACAAGTGTGGACAAGTCATAACTGCCTCAGAAGCAAATCATAGTAGTAGGGAAAAAGAAAGACTCAAACTTTTGAGTCACTATCTGAATCACTTCCAGTGTGATAAGGAGAAAATCTACAGTCCTATTGTGCAATAAACATCATTCCCAATGTGTCTCTGAGGCCTTAGCTGCCTGAGTTGCGCCAGTTTGAGCATGTGTGACGTATGTCTATGATAAGATGATCGCTGTCAGGAAGCTAGGAGGTAAACAACAATGGTGCTGCGAAAGATGCACAAAAACCTTAAAGAGGAAGAAAAACATTTGAAATGTCGAAGTGTTGCACCAAAAGGACAGTTTGGGTTCAGTTTGGGAGGAGTGCTTTTGGTGAATATCATCAGCACACTGTAGAAGCTGTTGCAAGACGGGAGAGAAAGTAGCAGAACTAATGAGACTTCCAGGAGTCCAGTTTGCTCCCTATTCATTACAGTGGAAATGCCTTGGTTTGCTTGATGACCAGTATATACAGGAGCTCTCACCATTTTTATAGTCATTACCTGCAGAGTGGTTTAAAACATGGAAAAAAAGGGAGCACGGTATCTGTTTTTACTGACATGAAGATTATATTCAGTGTTTGCAACACAACAGGCGTCATTTAAGAAGCTAGACCAAAACAATGTCCACAGCATCTCAACCAAACCTCAAGTCTCCAGAGGCGGATTTTTTTTTTTATATCAAAGCAAGGAGACTGTAAACCAAAGATTTATATTGACAAACAAACATCAGACAATAACACAGTGGTATAATTAAGGAAAAAAAACAGCCGGTAATTTCTGTGAATTTGTTGTAGGAACAAAAAGGCCAGAGAATCTCCAACAGTGCTCTCTATAATTAGATTTCATTACAGTTGCACTGCTGCAGCAGCAGGTGGAGCCACCACATTCGCCAAAATTCATATAAGCACACTGTAAACCCTCTTTGATCCAATTAAAATGGAGGATGGTGTAACCGAAGACACAAAAAGAGGACTTGAGAGGCCTCTGGTTAATTAAAGTCCACATGAAACATTCACTATTAAACCTACAGAGATCTTGTTATTTGCATCACACCAATCCCCCCGTCCAAAAAAAACATCATCATAATAATTATTGCTGTAGGTTTCTAAATGTTCTGTGATAACCCAGAGCTCGGAGCACAGCTGGAGCCTTGCAAATGTCTGGAATAAATTTTGCTTTTACACCCACTCACCTGGCCTGGAGCTATCGTGGGATGGCAATTTAGAGCAGTGTGCAACTTGACTTCTTTTTTGTCTTTTTCTTTTCCATCGGCGTTTTTCTGTTGATCTGTCGCACCAGATCATAGAAAATCTACAACAGAGAAGATTTGATGTGTTTCAGCACTTTTCTTCAGTATATTATGGGATGTACGGAGAGAGCTACAGCTCAGGAATGATGTTATCGGTACTAATTCCTGTTGACACACAACACTAAAATGCATGAAATGGTGGACAGCAAACACAGTTTCTCTTGTTTCATTTGCTGGTCTAGCGGTCAAGCAGCTTCTGTCTTTAAAATTAAAATCATACAATTAGAAATTTATTTTTAAAAGATAACTAGAAACACAAAGTCACTAAGTTAACACTGAATGCTCTTAAGAATATCATAAGAAGGTTGTGTGCATTTATGGGAAACTCTCAGGTGTGTTAGTGTAAATCTGCAGCTGATCAACTAAAACTCAATATTTATATTTTTACTCTATTGTCACAGCGAGGAGTGCAACTAGTCAACCAGACATTTAAACATGGATTCCCTCTCATGCTTCCAAAGAAATAAGTCTGGTAAACATATTATTCATGTTTTATTCATGTAGAACTGCAGGTAAGTGTTGGGTTTAGGATGTGAAGACACCACCTGCCACTACACCCACAGCAGATTTGAGCCCCCCACTGAGCTGACTGACACACTTAATGGCTGACTAAAGTAAGATGAGGATGACTATTACTCTGACTTGCTGAGTTTGTTGTGGGAAGTGAGAGAAGCAGCTGCAACAACAGAAACAGTCACGCAGACAGGTGCAGGTTATGCTGGTATTGCACTGGTGAACAAAGGACTGAAGACTGGTGAACTGTCAATTTTAATTTCAGATTTGTTTTCCACTCTTCCTGCAGTTAATTTGCTCCTTTAGTTAACTGTTTAAAGCTAGCTACTCCACTAACCTGTGCCTCATCTGTCAGGTGTGTGTACCCTTTTTGGCTGGCCTCGCTGAGTCACTGAGGTCTGGTGCTCCATTTTAACTTCTCTATAATTTGTCTCAGTATATCATTTATAATGCTGGTTTAGTCGAGTATATTCCCCATTTGCATACTTAAATAAAATGAACTGTAAAGTCTTTCAGGATATTTTAATGTTGTGTTGTTAAGTTTTGGTAATAGTGTTTACATTTATTGCAGTGTTTCCAAGACAGACTTTACTAGTGATGTCAAGAGTGGCCATCTGACTATGCAATCTGTCCCCACCAAGTTGCAACTGTTCAGCTGGCTCGCATATGTAAATATTTTACTGTAATACAGATATAAAAGCTTGAAAAGCATGAAGATTTTTACCTTCAGTTGGTAAATGTCTGCTTATTTTTCCTGTTTAAGGGCTAAACCTTCCTTGCTGCCTTTGCAGGTGAACAACAGAAATACTAGCCTGCTGAACCAACTATTCATATTTTATCAATGTTCAACATCAGGTAGCTTAAAATACCCCCTATCAATCTCCCTATTTGTGATGGGAAGTTATAAACGAGCAAAGCAGAAAGTAAAGATAGATGACAACCGTGTGAACCAGCACAGTTCTGCAGTGCTTTGGCTATGCCCGAGTAAACCTGCATGTAACCGCTTGACTGGAGCGATGTATCACCACATTCTGTCGACGTTAACCTGTGAGGAAGGAAAGCTGCTGGTGATGGCACTGTTAATGTTTACCTACTGGGCAAGGTAATTTGAGCTGTGCACAACACTAGGGCTGCCACAAACGATTATTTTGATAGTTGACTAGTCACCGATTATTTTTGCGATTAGTCGACTAATCAGATCATGCATCCATTGGACGTAAA